GGAGATGCTGATAGTGGTGATGATGGTGGTGATGATGGTGATGGTGATGATTATGATGATGACGATGGTGCTGATGAAGGCGACGGCGATGGTGATGATGATGGCGAGGATGATGATGAGGATTCTGGCGGTGATGCGAATGCTTATGATGGTGATAGTGATGCTTATGATGATGCTGCTGCTAGTGCTCACGACGGTGATCATGATGATGGTGATGATAACGGTGATGCTGAAGACCTGGTTGTTGATGATGGTGGACGTGACGACGGTGATGATGATGACGATGATGATGATGTATGCTGGTATTTGTGATGGTGATGGTGATGGTAATTGCGAGGGTGATGGTGACGATGATTGTGATGGTGACGCTGCCGATGATGCAACTGCTGATGCTGATGACTGGTGAGGGTGCGGATGATGATGAGGGTGGGGAGCAGGATCAGGATCAGGATGAGGATGGGGGTACGGATGAGGGTGAGGATGGGGATGAGATGAGGGTCAGGATGAGGGTCAGGATGAGAATATGGATGAGGACGATCATGATGTTGGTGATGGTGATGATGCTGATAGTGCTGATGATGATGGTGGTGACTATGATGATAGTGATGATGATGATGATGATGAGCATGGTGGTGATGATGATGGCAGGGGTGATGGTGATGACTGTGATGGTAATGGTGATGGTAATGCTGATGATGAAGGTGGCGATGATGACGACGATGATGGTGATGGTGATGATGATGACCATGATGGTAATGCTGATGAAGATGCCGATGCCGATGATGATGGTGCTAATGATGGTGACGGTGACGGTGATGATGATGACGATGAGTTTGGTGATGATGGCGGTACTCATGATGTGGGTGTTGATGATCGTGCTGAGTGTCATGTTGCTTTTGGTGGTGATAGTGGTGATGCTGATGATGCGGTTGATGAAGATCGTGGTGGTGACGATGGTGATGATGGTGATGATGGTGATGATGGTGATGATGGTGATGGCGATGATGATGGTGCTGATGGTGGTGAGCATGGTGGTGATGGGGATGGTGGTGGTGATGGTGATTGCGATGGTGATGATTATGGTGGTGATGAGGATGATGATGATGGTCATGATGGTAGTGTTGGTGATGATGTGGGTGATGGTGATGATGGTGATGATGGTGCTGGTGATGATGATGGTGATGATGATGATGATGATGACGCTGATGGTGAGGATGAGGATGATGATTCTGATAATGCTGGTGACGATGCCGCTGGTCATGATGAAGGTGGTGACGATGGTACTGGTGACGGTGGCGATGATGGCGATAATATTGATGATAACAATGTTGATGCTGTTGATGATGGTGATGGTGATGGTGCTGGTATTGATGGTGAAAACGGAGATGTCGGTGAAGGTGATGATGATGGCGATGATGATGGTTGTTATGATGATGATGGTGGTGATGACGGGTCAGTGTTTGATGGTGGTGATGGTGATGTTGTTGTTGATGGTGATGGTCATGTTGTTGTCGATGATGACGAGGAAGATGGTGGTGGTCATGATGATGATGTTTGTGGTGATGGTGACGATGCTGGCGGTGGTGTTGATTATGATGATGGTGGTGATGATAGTGGTGGTGATGGTGCTTGTGATGATGTTGTGTTGCTGATGTTGGTCATGATGATGATGATGGGATGGTGATGGCGAGGATTATGGTCACGATGGTGATGAGGATGGCGGTGGTGACGGTGATGCTGATGCTGAGAGTGTTGGACCTGATGGTGATGATGGTGATGGTCGTTTTGATGGTGATGGTGGTGATGGTGGTGATGATGATGATGGTAATGGTGATGGTGCTTGGTGATGCTGATGGCGATGGTGATTGTGAAGCTGCTGATGGTGATGGTGATGATGATGTTGATTGTGATGATGGTGATAGTGATGTATGTGCTGATGATTGTGGTGTTCGTGATGGCAACGATTGTGATGCTGATGATGCTGGTCGTGATGATGTTGTGGGTGGTGGTGATGGTGTTGACGATGATTGTGTGATTTTGATGATGATGGTGATGGCGATGATAATGGTGACCGCGATGGTGATGATGATGACGATAATGACGAGGATGATGATGACGATAATGATGTTGATGATAGTGAGTGGTGATGATCATGGTGATGGTGATGGCGATGAGTGTGCTGATGACGTTGTTGTTGATGGTGATGGTGTTTACGACGGTGGCAATCATGATGCGCATGCTGGTGCTTGTGATGGTGATGGTGATGGTAATTGCGATAGTGATTATGATGGTGCGTGATGGTTCTGACGATGATGGCGATGATGATGGTGGTGATGACGATGTTGGTGATGGTGATGATGGTGTTGATGGTGATGCTGGTGGTGTTGATGATGGCGGGGGCGATGGTGAAGGCTGTGATGATGCTCGGGGTGATGTTGATGATGGGGATGGTTATGATTGCGATGATGCTGGTGATTGTGTTGACGATGCTGAGGGTGATGGTGACGATGATGCTGATGCTGATTATGATGATGGTGGTGATGGTGATGGTGATAGTGGCGGTAATAATGATAAGGGCACTTGATGATGATGATCATGATGATGGTGGTGACGATAATGATGATGCTGAGGATGATGCGGTGATGGTGCTGTTGATGGTGATTGCTTTGATGATGATGGTGGTGGTGATAATCATTGTGATGGTGGTGATGGTAATAGAAGTGATGATTGTAATGATGATTGTGGCGGTGGTGACTGCGCTGGTGGTGATGACGATGTTGAAGATGATGGTGTTGAAGGTGATACTGGTGGTGATGATGATGGTGAAGATGATCATGGTGATGGCGTTGGTGGTGACGATGATGGTCATAATGATAATGGTGATGGCGATGGTGATGATGACGGCGATAATGAGTATGATGGTGGTTATGGTGATGATGATGATTGTGATGCTGGTGGTGAAGATGCTGATGCTGATGATACTGGTGCTGGTGGTGGTGATTGTGATGGTGATGATGATTGCGATGAAGGTGCTGATGATGCTGATTACTGTGGTGACGATTCTGATTTTGCGATGGTGATGATGCTGGGGATCTGGATATTGAGATGCTGGTGGTCGTGATGATGATGGTGATGGTGATGGTGATGTTGCTCGTTATGATGATGGTGGTGGTGATGATGAGAGGAGTGGTTCTGATGACTGCTGTGGTGATGGTGATGGTGATAATTGTGCCTTAGATCGTGATGATGACGATGATGACGATGCTGGTGATGATGGCGGTGATTGTGATGCTGCTCATGACCATGATGTAGATGGTGATGGTGATGATGTTACTGCTGTTGATTGGGGCTATTGTGCTTGTGATGGTGATGAAGATGATGATTGTGATGGCGATTGCTACCTTAATTGTGATGGTGATTGTGATGGTGATGATGGTGATGGTGATGATGTGGTGATGATGGGGATGGTCATGATGAGCGTGATGATGGTTACGGTTCTGATCATGTTTGTGATGATGATGACGAGGATGGTGCTTACGATGATGATGACGACGATGATGATGACGATGATGGTGATCATGATTATTATGATGATGATGGTAGTGAAGATGAGGGGGATGATGGTGAAGTGGATGATGCTTCCGATGATTTGCTGTTCTTGGTGATGATGATGGCGATGGTGATGATGATGAATATCCGTGTGGGACTCGTCCTGCCGCCGTCCACCTCTCTATCAGAGTGGAAGGCATCAGAGCTGTGTCGGGCTGCTTGGCGCCGTGTTGAAGACATCTGGGCACAGCGTGCGGGGACGGAAAGGACTCAGCAAAACATGTTGAGATGTTCGGGGTGTTATTTCAAATTTTGTTGCACCTTTGGAGCGTTCCCCGCGCGGTCGGGGTGACATTTACAAGGGGTCTTGCCCTCGGGAGCGCGAATCACGCGTGATGTACGAGGGTCTCTGGCCTCGGGAGCGCGAGCCCGGAGTAATGTACCGTGGATTCTGGCCTCGGGAGCGCCAGCGCGGCGTAATTTACGAAGGACTCTGGCCTCGGGGGCGCGAACCCTGCGTAAGTCATGAGGGCGTGCGGCCTCGGGGGCGCGGATGTCCCGTACTATCACGTGTCCCAGATCCACGAAGAATTCAGGCAACGCGATTCCGGGCGTGGTGGCCAGGGTGGTTTGCGCTCCCCCCCCTCCTCCCCTCCGCGGCGCGGACAGTAACAGTTTACAGTGGGAAGCAGACAGAAGTAAGATTACAGTGGGAACTCAAAGCTGGACCAGGCACAGAGAGCAGGAAACCTACGCTGCTCAGCCTGATTCCCTCACGAGGGGGCCGACATCTTATTATGAGGACGAGCATGAGGATACTAATGACGATTAGGATTAGGATGAGGATGGGGATGATAAGCTGAAGATGAGGATGAGGATGGGATGTTTTTGATGGACATTATGATGATTAGTACGATGATGAGGGTGATGCTGGTGATGTTGATGTTGATACTGATGGTGATGAGGATGTGGATGATAACGGCGATGCTATGCTAATGATGATTATGAGGTTGACGACTTTCATGGTTATGGAGATGTTGATGGCCATACTGATGTTGATGAGGATGAAGATGAGGACGGAGATGGGGATGTTGACGATGATGCTGATAATGCTGATGATGCTGATGATGGTGATGATGATGCTCATGCCGATGATGATGGTGGTGGTGATGGTGATGGTGATGATGATGATTAGAAGGGGGAGGAGGATGGGGACGAGGATGATGGTGATGTTGATGATTGTAATCATAACGAGAGGCATGATGGCGATGACGAGATGATGATGATGCTGTTGATGATGATGATGATGATGATGTTGATGATGATGGCGATGGTGGTGGTGGTGGTGGTGATGGTGATGGTGAAGATGATTATGTTATGCTGCTAATGATGATGATGATGGCAATGATGATGATGATGACGATGATGATGCTGATACTGATGATGATGAT